TATTAAGATTCATCTTTGATACATTTAAGCAAATCATTATACAAGTCTCTCTCTAAATTTAAATCAGTAGCAAATTAAATATATTTTACTATGCCAAGGTTATATGATTTATTCATACATGTAGATGATTAATTAATAATTCATAATATTTTCTACATCTATAAAATGATACTAAATAATATTAAAAAACTGTTATAATTCTCATGATTATATATCTTGATGATAATAATATTAAATAAATTAATTTTAATATATTATTAGAATAATATTGATAAGATATCAATTCTAAATTTTATTTTTATGCATTTTCATCTTTGATCTTTTCTGCTAATTATGAATATAAGTTGCTGTTTATATTTAGTAATGGATAATCGATAAAAATAGATAATATCTCCTATTCAAAGGTGCGGTTGAGTATTTTTTTAATTAATTCCTATAGATATCATTGAGATACTAGTGAACATCATATCATGTAAATTACTTGATTTCAAGCTATTGATACATTTATTGTTTTTATTAGAAAAAATATTGTCATCTTTGGTCAAAAGTGATTCACGATTCGTTTAAAGATTATAAATATATCCATATATTTTCATCATCAATTTTGTTAAAATCTGCTTCCTACTTCAAGGTATAATTTTATATATAGATGTTCAACTTCTTAATTATTGATTTTCAGTCCAAAAATGCTGCTTAACTGAACAATAATAAAAAATACAATAACTATAAGGTTTACGAGTAATCTTTTAAGCCCTTGCTATTTTATATATTATAATAGCTGAGTTAACTATTATAACAAGAATATTTTTTCAATGTTAATGGATATAAATTTATCTTTTACTTTAATCTTCTTGTTTAGATTTTTCTAAAAAATTATTACTAACACGTAATTTTTAAATCAATCAATATAGAAATCTTAAATATTTGAATTTATAGAAAATCGACATCTTATTGAAAAATTAGTCTGATAGTATTATTATAGCAGCTTTATTTATTGGGCTTTGATTGTATGTATAGCTTTAATTACACAACAAAACAAATTTCAATTAAGAATGCAGATTTATATTTTTTAAATTGGATAGGAAGGCAAATTAATTTTAAATAAAACTATTAATAGGAAATCAATTAAGAATATTAATAACATATAAAATGATAAATATCTAGTTCTTTTTAATTATAAATCCAATAAATTATCTAAATAATGAAAATTCTAATAGACTCATTTTTTTGTTTTTCTAACACTTTTTGGTTATAATCAAAATTTTATATAATTTTATGCAAATCTAAATCTATACTATTTATATATATGTGAGATATTCTTAAATTATTCAAACATTTAAAAAGTAATACTTTATTCGAAAACACTAAAATGGCCATTGTCTTTTAGTTGTTCAGGTTTAGATTTGGAAAACAATTTGTTAATATTTATAATTAAAATGAAATATTATAGCTTAGACATAATAAATTAAATTGTAAATCTGATAGTTTTTTCTGCTTTAATTGAAATGTAATTAAAAAAAATTACTTCTTTTGTAGATACTTATCTTTAATTTTGTGTGATATGAGCAAATTATTCTTCCTATAGTATGTAATAGGTAAGATTACTTCATAAAAAACAAAAGATCCATCAGTGGAATTAGATTATAATCTTTATTGAATCTTTTAGTCTGACTATTTGAATCACATAAGGTTAATACATATTTCTCATCTAATTCCTTTGATAATTTTGGCTCTAAAATCTTGTATTTTATTAGGGATTATTGCCATTGACAACATTAAAATTTATTTTTCTTTAAATGAGTTTCTTAAACAAATTAAACTTAGTTTTAAATTTCGCTTTCTTAATGAAATAAAAGTTCAATAAGATTTTTTCGATAGAAGGTGAAGGGAGTTTTTTCTTATTATAAAACCTTTTATGAACTACTAGAATTTTGAACTTTGTTGATATTTTTGGTGATTTGGATATTGTGGATGCACATTATTTAAAAAAGATTATAAATAAAAATTTCATAAAACAGCTTTGAAACCTTCAGGCACAAGATCATAAAAGAGAGTAACTTTAGTGAATATCAAATTAATCCTTTGTTTAGTCTTTTAAACTTAAATATTATCTATAGACCTGACATACTCTTTTTGGATAATAATTGTAATACATCATTGCACAACCATTTGATATTGATTAACTAAAGATTTTTCAAATAGTCTTTAGAAATTTAAAATTTATCTTGCTCCTCCTACAATTTTAATTTCAAATTTTAACTTAATTTAATTAATGTTTTATTAGCTAAATTAATCGGAGATTCTGAATGAAAAGAAAATATCTTTTTTATATTTTTTTTCTATTGCTTAATATAATCATAATTTTCCTCTTTTTTTGCTACATTAAGACCTCCTGATACAATTGGAATCATGCAGCAAAAGTTTTAGGAATAATAAGCAACCATTATCTCTTGAACCTAAAATTCTCTCATTCAAATAAGCAGTAACTTAAGCTTTTTCCTTATAGAATTAATCTACAAATGCCGAAAATTTAAAAAATCAAAATCAACAAATGCCATATGTCTTCTAAATAGTTCATAATGATTACTATTTTTGTTGTATCGTGGAATATTCTCTCAAAAGGAAAAGGAATCTCAGCTACGTCAGGTCTCAATCAAGGTCTTTTTCTCTATATATATTTAATATGCTGCCACTATAATACAAAAATAACTGACTTATACATTTATGACATTATGAATTACCAATCACTTTTACTTTTTTGAACATTGAACCTACAAATTCATCAGGATTGAATGTGGTCTTCAAATAAAAGTTATTAACCTAAAATTATATTTTCAAAAATCTTTGAAACTGTGAATCATTTGGTCTGTTCTGCTCCAAATTTTGTTCACTTTGTAATTATAAGAATCTGTTAAAAGAAGCAACAGAATAATTAATAAATAAAAATTATATAATTCACAAGTTCGTTTTCTAGTTATTCTATATGATAGATACTGCTTAAAAATGAAGAGAAGGATATCTCAAAATATATTCTTTGATTTTACAAGATTTTTTCATTTCTTGAGTTCAGAACAAAGAAAATGATAAGCAAAATATGGATTTTTAAATTAATTCAATCATTAGATGATTTGGAAATACATTATTTATTTTAATGATTGACTTCTTTAATTGAAAATAATTTCTTATCCTTA